TTCTAAATGTCATCACCTTTTCAAGAGGAGTGGTGCCACGCTTGTCTTTTATTTGTTCCACCATGTGAAACTAATTAGTGAAAAGACTCTCCTAATTTTCTATCTGCTTATTGGAATCTTCCCTTTTCTTAATTTCTCATCCATGGCAGAGCATTATCCGTCATGCCTTCGAAACGTGGTTCATATCTGCAAAATGTTTGGGTGCCACAGGGCTACACAAACAACTACCACCCACCCCTTTCCCTGGCACTTTGTCTGGGTGTCTCTTGCCTTCTTTCAATAAGACAGACATATTTTCTCTGCCTTCTTAAAACACCACTGATCAAAACAAGGTACTCCCACCCTCCCTCTTTTCCTTCATAATGATTTTGCTTTTGCTATGCTTTTTTATGCTCTGTAATCCAGCCCAGACTTCGGAAATGCTTTGCAGAATGTATCAGGAAGTGGTTAGCTGTCAAGAGCTCAGGTAAGCCATTTATTCCCATTAGCACCAAATGTGGAGTAACACCTTATTCTTCTCTACCTGTCAGAGCTGCCAGATGTGAACTGCCAGTCCACAGCTGGGGAGGAAACTCTAGCCTGCATGAGCGCAGCAGCCAGCTCAGTACCGCAAAGAAGGGGAAAGTGCCATGGAGTCCCACAGAAAGCTAATTAGAATCACTGATTGAGCTTTTAATCAAACCACTCTCTAGTGTGGAGCTATATGATATCTGCTGTTTCTATGAACTTCTACTTTCTTGAAGGAGACAAAACTTTCTGATGTTGCAAAAAACATGGCTTATACTACATTTCTCTTGGGGCAGTAGTGCCGAAGATGAAAAGAAGGAAACCTCAAACTTTATTTTGATTTCACACACCTGTTTTTGCTTTTATTGACTTACTGATCAAGCTCACAAAGAGAAATACTAGCCACACCTGGGACCCATTTCTCTGAAACATACACTGGACGAAACAATGGCAGAGGCCTGTTCAAACTGCTGCAGGTGACAAAAATGACTTTCCCGCCATCAAAATGGAATTGAAATCCTTAAAGAGTTATACTGTTTGTCATAAAACTATGAATTACAATGACATACTCTAAATCTGATTAAAGAAAATGCAAATATTCTTACCAAGGTGTAAGGTGATTCAATGAATTTGTAACTATAAGGGATTCCTGTTGAGTTTTGTTGAATTTTGTTTTCAGATGATTTATAACTATTAAAGTATGCCTGTTGGAATGAAAGAAGGACCGTAGAACACATTAAAATCTAGAAATAAGTATATTTTAAGGATAGCTGTGAGCTGGCACATTGTTGGAACAAAGATTTTGGCTGTTTAGAAAGGGTTTCCCAGCAATGTTGTTGAAGATATATAACCATTAGACGTGGCTTTCTTGAAGAAACACAACTTCCACCAATCTAATGAACATGACAGCTCAAATTGCCTCCTGCTTGTAGCTTTTCTCAAGTTGCTATGTTTTTATATTCTCGGAAGTGTGCTTGAATTTGTTAGAAGACGTAAGCAACTGCTCTTTGAGCTCACATGTTTTCACTTTGAATCATTATACGTTTCTGTCAGATGGATGGTAAAACAATTACCATCTACATTTGCAAAAGTAAATTTGAAGTATTTTTGCTTCACATTTTTATAAAAGTACACATTTTTAAACCAAGTGAAATTAAGGCTTCACTTTGCAATTACTCTTAAGAATATTTAGGTGACATTATAAAACAATGTTTATGAAAATAAATTAATCTCTTCTCCATCCCTCAATGGATTAATAATAGATTGCACAAGTCTTAAGTTAAGTTTAAACAATCCCAATGCAAAAGGTTTTGAAAAACATCTTGTTGATCGCATTCTATTGTATCCTGGGATACCTGCATGCGTGTTCTGTCAATGAGTGCCATGATCCTGCTCTGAGCTGCTCTGGCTCTGGCATCAGTGACAGCACTCTACATGTGTCCCACATATTGAACTCCTACTTTAATGGCTTTCTCTGCACTGTAACAGTTCCCTCTGCTATTAGCTCATCCAAAATAGGGAAAAATAGCACTGGCAAGTGTTCAGTCAGGAATCCTGTTGTATATCACTCCCTTCCCCTCATGCTTGTCCCTTAATCCATGCACAGAGAAACTAATCACCAAAAGATGTTTGATTATATTGCCTATAAAATTAAGCTTGGCTTTGTTTTCATATGGGCTTCAGTATTGAGGATGAGAGAAGAGTGATTCTCCAGGGTCCCGTTTTGTCACTGGGCTGCACTAAATCCCAGCCCAGCAACAGTAACAGTGGAACTGGCTGAAGTAATGCCCATCCCCTCAGAGGCCACTGTTGCTGAGTGGGATGGATAGGAGCTCTCAGGCAGATGGACAGAGAGATGGGATTGATTACACAGTTGCATCAGATAGACTTACAGCTAATCTGATGGTCTATCTAAGCTCGTTTATCTTCATCCATCATCTAAGCCTCCATCCATCATTGGAGCTCACTGTCTAAGCATGCGTGTGCTGCATTACTACACTCGTGCACCTCTGTGTGTGTTTATACAGCAAACCCATCAATCAATCTGTCTGTCTGTCCATTTCCAAGTGGACATAATTTTACTGTGGATTCCATGGCTTTGCCAAATACAGATGTTCCTGAATAGTTTCTTTGGTCAAAATATTTCAATTCATAGAGAGAATGTGCTCTTAATTTGCACACTAAGGAAGTAGGAAGTCTATGATCTCCGAAGTGTTCTCCAAAGTGAGTCAAGTTCTATTAAACACTTTGATTGTCCAAAGATAATATGGTACCTTACCTCAATTTCATGCAAAACCTTAAAATACCATGACATAATTGACAATCACCACTGTTTACAAACTGTTGAACACTTGGGTAATGTCAGTAGCAGTATATCAGAGTATTAAATTTGGAATATTTGTTTTCTTATTTTAAAGACACACTATATCACAGTACTGCCAGCAACATGATAACTATGGAACTGGTAAGGCAATCTGCCCAGTTTACATTATTGACTATTGGAATTAAAAGCAGGTGGGAGACAATAGACACACCAGTATTTAAGTGCTTAGTGGAAACACAGCCTCAGCGGAAGCCTCTCCTTTGGAATTTATGGTCAAGAAACAATACTTTTAATCCCACAGCTGCAATACAATAGGATTTCCAAGAGCAAAAGTACTGTAGATCAGTGCCACCAACAACATAGCAGTAATGTTGGCATCTGTGTTTGGTAGAAAGATGGACCGTGTTTAACTGTAAAACTACTGTATAATTGATACATGTTGCCAAAAGGTGTATGAGGTTATCAAAAGAGAAGAAAATTAAAAACAGAGGTTTGGTTATGCTACTTGTTATTTAACACATGGCCGTTTCTAATGCCACCATGTTCTCATGATAAGAAGGAATATGAGATGCAACAGGACTCTTTGAAACTAATGTGAACTCAAAGGCATGAGTCAGTACAATGCTCCAGCACTGTAGAAGCAATTAAGCCTGGGGCTGGAGGTCAAAGAGATGGGAGAACAGGAATGGGCTTTGGAGGATCATGCTAAACCTGGAAACAGCTGAGAAAAACACTTGAGCAGTTTTGAAAGTCAAGTGGGTTCAGTGTGCTGGAGCTGGGGCAGGGGGTTGGGAATGGAGTTTCTGCCGTATATCTCAGAGCCTGCTCTCTCATATCTTTCTGTGGCAGGGGCAGAAAGGAGGGATTATAATAATCCCAGTATACTGTATGTGCATATCTATTGCATTGAATTTAATCATCGCTTGCTTTGTTAAGGATGCCTAGTTTTGCAAGTTGTCAGATATAGTTATACTTTGTTTCATAACTTTTTGTACTTTTATTTTATACCCACCCAGTTCGGGAACAATCATACAGCATACTGTATTGGACAAGCAGGCAAACTCCTTATCATCATCAAAAGGATGAGCACCTTCTTTTCTGTAAAATGTGCAGTGTTGGAGTCATTTTATACTTCAAACACTGTGAGTCACACTGTGCTTTACAACAACTGACATTGATTGGTGGAGTGATATAGTAAGCATCTAACAAGCTGGGACTTGGAGATTTGCAGCTCCACACTGAACTGAGGACAACCTGCCAGGCTCACTCCCTCCCAGGCCCAACAGCACTCAGACAGTTGTGGGGTGCCTCAGCTAATGACATAGCCCTGAGCTGCAGAACTAAGAGGCCCAATCAAATCTCCAATGAGTGGCTTGAACTAGCTGAGCTACTTGGGAGGCCTAAAGAATCACTTTTCATAAATCATAAGAAACATGTTTCATGGAAAGCATTCATCAAGAAATGACAATGCCATTTTCCTCTTAATGGATCTGTTTTTTTAAGTCTTAACTTAAATCCAATGAATACATTTCTGTAAAAATATTACTACCACAAATATGACATTGTCACCAACCGAGTGACCAAGTTTGGCTAAAAAAAAAAGAAACTCCCACACAACAGTCTTCAAATGCAAACAAAACTGGATGATTTATTACCACCAAAATAGGGATAGCAAAAAAAAAAAACAACTCTCAGGAGTACTCTCCACACCTTTCTTCCAAGGCACCCTCCCCATACTGAGCTCTCCCAGTCCCTTTTATAGCCCCTCCTCTCCAAGGACCATCCTCTTAAAGGGACTTGCTCACATTTTCTTAACAGAGATAGGCAGTTTGACCAAAATAAAGAATTTAACCAAAAAAAAAACGTATACATTTTAATAGAGTCATGCAACTGTGATATATTCACTTAAACAAAACAACTAACCTTACAATGGTTATTTATAGATGGCTCACCAGTAACCTTTCCCTTTAAGATCATTTGTGTGATACTACAAACAGGAAAGGTGACTGGTGGCCATCTTGATCAACACAATACAATACTCAAACGGGGAAAACACTGCAGTTATTTTAGGTAAACAACAAAAACGGTAAGTATCATTCACACTTCATTTGTATCACATACACACTCTCAAACATACCAGAAGGGTAGAGGGAAATATTGGAGTATTTCACATTCAGTAAAAGAAAGAAAAAATAACAAGCACTAAATAAATAAAAAACATTCTGCTCCACTTGTTCACTTGTTCTTTGATTTGTGACCTTGACAATAATAAACCTTACAGTCCTTCAGAAGGCATCCTCAAGAGTTCTGCTTTAACATATCATTTTCTCTTCCCAATTGATGGTGCTCTTGCCAGCCTTGCCACTGTTTCACCCTCCCTCCTGGCAAATATGCTCATGCCACCTGTGCTGCTCAGGGTCTCCAAGCAACATGAGGCAATCTGTGGACTTAGCAGTAGGGTGTACTGAAGAGCCTGCCTCTGTGTGTGAGGTCTGGTACCAGACTGGTTCAGAAGTTTAATGAGGCCAGCCGTTAACTACTTTACTTACTGGCAAAGCAGCTGGTTCCTCAGAAGCTGTAATTTACACAGCACCTAAAAAGAAACCTAATATTTCAGAAGAAATGCACATACAGCAGTGAGGCAACCTGGAGTGCTTACACTATTTAGGTGTGTAGTCAGAAGAAAGAAGATGGGGTAAAGAGAGGAACTGAAGAAGATGGACTAGGAAAACTGCCAGCACTTAGTAAATAAGGGGTGCCCTCCTGTCCTTGAGGGCTGCTGTCCAGCAGGTTTTGATCTTTTCACAACTATAGCTTCTTACAAAAAACACTTCAATGTGTCCAATTAAGCAAGTAATGAGTTCAAGGAAATAATGAAAGGCTCAGGTGGACCAGAAACCCTCTGGCTCTCCATGACTCAAACCCATTTAAATTGCTGGGTTGAAATCACTTTAAAGATTGTTACGGCAGTATTTGCTCTCCTATGTACAGTATGTAACAGGGCCCCCCTTTGTACTGAGCAGATACCCGGCTTCCACGTAAAACAAAAGCCAGACTCAGCAGCACCTTTACAGTATATATTGAGTTGTAGTTTATTCATAGAATAGCTGCCAGAAAACATTCAAAGGCAATGACAAAAAGAGACTCAAAGAAATAAAAAGCTCTCCACCAATCTCAAAGAGAACCTGAATGTCCCTGGATAGCAGCTTGTCTCTTTTTAGAAAAATGTTCATAAGGGAGCCCTGAGCTTCTTTCTCTCTTTTTGATCTTACAGTAATAAAAAACTGAACCAGCAGTATAAGGACTCTGCCTTTTATTTTGGAAGCCCCTCCCTTCTTGTTACCTTCCACAGGCCTTTTAAAGACGTACAGCTCTTTTACATACAAATTCCCAAAACAGCAATAGCAATATACAAAGAACAGCCATTCTTTCCTCGCAAATGCCCCATTTGTGTTTTTTTAGACATCCTTGAAAACATTTACTGTATATATGAAAATATTGCAACTCTGGGGGAAAGCACGCTGGCTCAACAGTTAGCATTTCTACAGTACCTCATGGTGTTTGGGTCCTCGGTTCAATTCCAGGAGTGCTACCCATATGGAGTTTGTATGTTCTCCCCATGATCACTCAGATTTCTTCCGTGTACTATGGTTTCCTCCCACAGTCCAAAACACATGCTGGTAGGTTAATTGGCTTCTGTGAAATAGGCCCTGGTGTATGTGTTATTTGTGTTTGTGTCGGTGTGTTCCTTGTGATGGACTGGCATTCCGTCCAGGGTGTATCCCTACCTATGCCAATAGTTTCCTAGGACAGGCTACTGTGGCCACGTGTTTTTCGACATAGGTGAGTGAGATTAGCTGCAGATTCAAAACACTAACGCTGTAACTATAACTGTTTACTAGTCTTTCTCTTGTCTGTTTCTAGCCTGCTACTCTGACAGACAACACAAACCTTTCTGCAAGAGGTACTGTAAGTTCAGAGTTATTCTTTGTGTTATTATAGTCCTGCACCAAACATTGTTTGAAGGCTATGAGTTTGCTTTCTGCACAAATGTGCACCAATGTAAAAATTATGGCCTGATGAATGCATTGCCTGCATTCATGCCTGCAAAAAAAAATTCTTTCTTATTTGTATGTAATGCACATTGTCATAATGTTATATTTTTCTTCACCAGAAGTGGCAACAAAGAGGTGTTGATAGATGCTTACAAGAAGCAAAACTAACTGGGTTTCACCAATGAAGTGTGTTTCTTGAAGTGGTTATTCTAAATGCTGTGGTTGAAGAAGGAGTAACAAATTCCAAAGTGCTTAGCTATTTCCAAGCTATGGTGTCCTGTCGACAGTTAGTATGTGCCTGAAGAGCATTACAGATCACAGCCATTTGTAGTTCCCCGGTTGTTGGCCCCTATGGCTATGTCACTCCATTTATTGTAACGGGAGCCGGTCCAGGATCCCATGAAGAGTAGTTCAGGACCCTATGCAGAAGATATAATCCGGAAGCAAGTGGAGTAGGACAACGGGGAGGAGATGATGAGGATCAGGGCAGGTTGACAGAAGGGGGGCGTGATGACAGTGAACTGGTGCTCGGGGGGCGTGGCCAAGGCAGACAAATCCAAGGAGTCCAGGTGGGAAATATGGGGCGAAGTTCAAGGTCCAAAGCCGGGTGATCCATCTGAGACAAAACAAGACGAGGATAAAAACCTGAACGGGATTCGGTACAGGGACAAGAATAAAAACAGGATGACAAGGCCAGGCACTCAGAGCCCTAGACTCAGATGGTCAGGATGCCGTGATGAAGTCTATGCCGTCGAGTCACTCATGGACTGAGCCCAGAATAGTGAGAGTGCCAAGCTTAAATAAGGAAGGGTAGGACTGGGGCCAGGTGCATAAAATCAGGTAAAATATAAGAGCCGGAGTGCCCTTAAAATGAGGGATTACAATCATGACATTAATAGAATCTCAACAGAGAGAAGCAGGTTTTTCACAGCGCATTTCTGAAACAAAGAAAGTTGAAACTGGTAGTCATACCTTTCTACCCACCCCAATCTATGTCTTTCACAGGGAGAATGAGGACCTATGAAATCACTCCTCCATCATGACCATCTTTCAGAGCCATTTGTCATGTGACATGATCCACGTTCTGTAGGACCTCACAGCAGGGGTTCCTAATCCTGGTCCTAGAGGCCCACATATCTACTGGTATTTGTCCAGGCCAAGCTCTGTTACAAAACTGAACCCTTTTCAGGTCTTAGAAATATTGGAATTTGCCTTTTAATTATTGTGTTTCAAAACATAAAATTTCAAACTAGTAAATTTTCCAAAGAATAGAAAAAACTAATACATTTTCCAAACAAGTGACTTGTTATTTCAATGAAAACATCATTTAAGTAAAAGAGTTTATGAACTGGTATGAAACCTAGCAGCCTCCGGGACCATGATTGGGATCCCCCGCCTTATATGACAGTTAGCTCTAACTGGGGGATGGACACATCTCTTACCCTGACAAGGTCCAACAGTCACTGCCTGATTAAAGAGGTCTGAACTGGAGACAGGATTTAAAGGTTTAGATCAGTAGACTGAGACCTACTGAGGCAGAGGCAGCCAAGTCCAGTCCTTAAAACTCCAGTGATTCTGGATTTTGTTCCAACTTGAGTCTTCAACAAAATGATGATTGATTTGGCCATAATGACCATTTTGAACAGGCTTTCAACGGGTGATGAGTTAAACATGTTTCTATCCTTTGGGATTGTAGGATTGGATTTGAGGCATTCTTGATCCAGGGAGTAAACAGAAGGATTTTCAACAAACGTGCAAGTATATTCTAAAAGCGATAAAAGGACATCGAAAGCCTCTCACGTTGTCGTGCAGGGAGAAGAAACTGCCATTCACAAAGGCACAGATCCATAAGTAACACTCCCATTTAAATAGTGAGACAAATATGTGTAATTAATGCAGTGATGCGAAAACCTAAGATCTGATAAAGCAAATCTTGAAACCAAATGCGAATGTGATACCACTTAAGCATCATGTTGCAGGGATAAAAGCTTGGCTATCAGCACAAGTGGTTTTGAAATTTTCCTGACACTGCTCATTGACTTTACTATGTTTTTGAAGTGCACTGAACTGTAGCTGCTCCGAGACAACTAGAGCAATCTATAGCTAATCTAGCTACTTTTGTTGAAATAATTTGTACTTTTTTATATTATTACCAGGTTGGCAAGGTTAAACCGCCACTCCATCAGGCAGATTGAGACCAAGGTTGTCAGCCAGCACTGACTCAGCCCTCTTTTGGCTGAACATTGTAGTTGTTGTGAAGAGATCATGGTGCTAGAAGGTACCTATAGAGCAATCCCTTGGATTTTAGTGTCAAATTCAGTCAGGTGTTGCATGCAGAAACTGGATTGAATTATTTTTGCTTTTCTAATCCTTTTCTGTTCACTTTGTCTCTCAGTTCAAAACATTGTGTGGAGTGAGAATGCACAGAAAGGCACGGTCTTATTTCAAAAGCTTTTCATTTTTATACTCTTCTTCTTTCTGTCTCACTTCCCTTTTCTTATTTTTCCCCTTGTTAAACAAATCAATGTGCTGAAAAATATCAGGAGAATTGACAGAACCTCAGTCAGCAAGTCAGCAATTCCCACCGAGGAATTTCTGAGGTGAAGTGCCCATTAACGTGGCAATCTATCAGCAGGGCACTGGATCGGCAGCACTATGCTGACATGTGTAGGCAGCCTAGGGGCTGGGCTGGTCACAACCCCCTGACCCCCACACTGCTGAGCCCTGTCAATACCCAGCCTGTCCCTGACCCCTCCAGAGAGTTCGGACAGCCTCAGATTTCATGGGGAGAAGAGAAATTTACTCATTGGAAAGTTTACTTTGATATATACAGTATGAATGCTAATTGTACTCTTTGAATACAATTAACTACAGAATTTGAATTAATTGAGTAATTTGTTGCATTTGTATAGCGCCTTTATTCCCAAAGAATCCCAAATCAACTTTATATACAGTATAGTAAGGGACCCTCTCTATTCACCACTATTGTGCAGACACAGCCTGGGAGCCCAAGCAGATGAATCAAGAGGGTATATTAAGATAACTAGAATGTACCATAATGCAATTTAGTCCGTTCATCAAGGTTATATTCTTATCTTGTTGATTGTTGGGTCAGAGTGAAGTGTGCCACCTACTGGTTAACTAGCAGAATTTGAAGCAGCAAGATCCTATTCCAGTACTATAATAACAATAACAATATTATTATTATTATAATCTACCACCTAATCTGTGTAACCTTCTTGTTCACAGCTCCCTTGACCGCCCTCAGCAGTTATCCACACCAGGCACTTTCTCTTGCAACAGAGCTCGCTGTATCACCTGCAAGTACACATCTAACACCACACTCATTCAAGGCCCCTCAGGACAATTCCAGATCACCCAGATGGCATCTTGTACCTCCAACAACCTCTAGAAACCAAAATTATCCTGCAGCTAGGATCACACCTTCCCCCTTCTCTTAACGACAGACTACTTTTCTTCTAAATTCTCTCCATTCATTGTAGGTTTCAATTCACCCCTCTCTTCACCTATCCTGACTTCACACCTCCTGATTGGTCTCTCTTTCTGTCCCCTGCTCCCGCCCCTCACTCCTCCTCTCTCCCAAGTTTTGTTCTCCTGCTACATTACCTTTGCCCTGTCTTTCTCACACCTGAAGAAGGCTCCACGGCCGAAACGTTGTGCTTTCTTTCTTCTCTTTTCAGCATGGAATAAACCTATTATCCTTTGCAACCTATGAATGCTGACGCAGCTACCCACCTCAATTATTATTATTATTATTAATAATAACAACAACAATCATAATAATAAATTCCTGTACTGACCATACCAAGCCTTAACTTCTGAGACCTGATGAGTTCAGACTACACAATGGAAATTAATCTTTATTTGTGTTTTCACTTTGATTTCCTGTTTTTATTTCACATCACTGGTTCATTATCTCTCAAGCTACAACCACGCTCCAAATTACTTCAGAGAGCAATAACACATCTTGTGCACTACTGTCGTTGTTTCATGTGGCAAATTGTAACCTTGCCATATAAATATATAAAACCTTGGCATATAAAATTCTAAATGTTAAAACAAATGGAGTCAAGCAAAACCTTAAGAAGGACTAGTAAAAAGCATAGCATAGCAAAGCATAGCAAAATCAGTCCAAAATGTAGAACCCATCTTTTCTAAAGGTACAGTATGCACGTTTACCATGGAAAACGTCGGTTAGGATGGCAGAGATGGTCACAGCCTTCACTCTCTGTAGGAACGGTCATACTGTAGTAGAAAAGTGCCTTCCCAGGCAGATGGCAGATCCCATATGATGAATTTGCTCAGGATTTGGAGAAAATTAAAGAAAGCTGTTACTTATTGGGGTAGTAAAATTAAGCCACAGTCTTTTTTTCTGCCAAAAGCCATATGGTTGATATTGACTGGCGTTGTTGTTGTTCCTTTAGCTAATTTCCTCGGCTGGGTTACAGAAGAATGAGGCTGCGATCGTTTATGTTTTAACTCTGCACAGCAGAGCCATTGTCTCGTGATCGGAGTCCAGAAAACAACAGGGACGCTGGGGAAACTTCCAGCACATTTAGAAACAAACAAGCAAACAAAACAAAAATAATTAGGTAAGGAGCCACATCACTAAAACGCTGCAATCTGCTTACTGTCTCGAGGAATCGCTGCGGAACCCAGATGGGCTCCAGGCCTGTCTCCCAGAATCAAATTCCCAACACCATAAAACTTTGGAGCTGGCAGCTGTGAGTCTCGTGATGCCTTGGTACAAGCAGAAAAAGAGAACGATAAGGTGTCTTAGTCTGACAAAAATTTTACTTATGTTATCCTTACAGTCACTCTGCTGCATAGGCTGATCAGATGACTGGGGTGGTTTAGAAAAGCGTTGATGAGATTCTGGGATTCTTATTCTTTGCTTATGCATTTTGTAAAGAGTTATTAAAAGGCAGAAGGGGTAAATAGGACTAATGTTGTAAGTAAGTTACCTTTGAGATTTCCCTTTGGCAATCCGATTTGAATGTCTCTAAAAACGCCATTGTCACAATTTTGCTGGTTTTGTCTTAGCTATTGTTTCCAAAACTTTACCAGTAAGAGAAGCAGATTTCATGTATAGTTTCCTTGTTTAGTTCTGCAGCACACAAATACATTTTTAGAGCTAGGTTTTAAGATCAGTAGGTACTGTTTCTATGGAAAGTGAGAACTGAAATATCCTAACTATGGTTCAATAATTAACATCCTTCATTTCCTCAAGTATACCTGAGAAAACACCATCAGAACCTATATGTCTATGATGGAGACATATTGGTTTTTAGGCACCCTAGTTCTTGTAGAACCTCAGTGTCAGCTATGCAAAATTAGGCAATACTACTGGAGCTCCTTCTGAAACATCGGCCATGTTATTTTATTGTAAAAACCCACACAAAATATTAATTTTACATGTTTACTATTTTTTTTCATCTTTGTTATTAAACACCCGTCTCTTCAGCTGATTGCTTCAGCTTTTAGAGTTCTTTTACCATTGCATTACTGATTAATTTGATTAATTTGACTCATTTGCTTTAAAGATGCATTCAGATAGCATGGTATAGGATGCATGTTGTGGAAACTGACAGCTTGATCCAATGTGATGACCTAATAAGTGTAAAAACGTCAGGATGTGAGCAATGAGAATTTAAAACCACATCACTCAAAAAGTTGTAGAAGCATAATCTGTGATGTATGACAACATATTTTTCATCACTCCATTAGCTGTGCTTTAACAAAATGAGATACATATATAAAACAGATAAACATTGCTAGTTTGCACATTCAATCTAATTTTCTTATTATTTTACGCAAAAGTATAATTCTGTGGTGATCTACTAAAAAGTTACAAGTAATAGGTTTCTTACTTGTAATAAACTGTGGACAGCCAAAACGTTGTGTTTTCTTTCTTCTCTTTTCAGCATGGAGTAAACCTATTACTTGTTCCTTTGCAGCCTACGCATGCTGACGTACCTACCCACCTGAACTACTTTGTAGTTAGCTATTTTAAGATAACCATTAACTTTGATTGATCTGAATTTTTTAGTACAGAAAGTATATTTTTTATCTGAGTGTGTAGAGAGGAACCAATGATGTCAATGACAAGGAACACTTGTCAATGAGTCAATTAGATGTCATTGGTAAATGTGATGGATTAGCTGCTACCGCACTTCACACTACGAGGTATAGTTTACCTTCTTGTGATCAGGTTTTTGAAGATGCTGATCAATGTCAAGTAAAGATTGCTGAAAGCCAAGCTTGAATTCATTTTTCCTCGACGAGGCAGTATTAATAAAACTCCAACTCAAGCTCTTTATTACAATAAGAGAAAACAGCAGTTGAATCTTTGAGTGAAATGTTGAGTGAAATGCGTTTTGTAACTCTTGATTATGCCTGCGATTCCTAAGACTTTAGAACAAAGTGTGTACTGCCAAAGCTTTAAGGATATGTTTAAGACATTCGGAGTATTTGAAGCACATCATCATCACGCAAGTCTATTGCATCGCTCATAATTTTTATATGGATTTGTCCAAATATTTTTAGCGCTTTCTTGTAGTCCTTCAAGAGGTCAAAACCCAACAATCTGTCAGGGGAGGATGCACTGTATGTATTTTGACAACGACACTGTGAAAAAGAATTCCATTATACCTGGGAAGAGGAGGTTAATGAGGGAGTGCTGTCGATAACCCCTGGCAGCAGTCGGATCACAGGGGAGAGGAAACACACTGCGGAAAATGCTGGAATCGGAACACCAGAGTTACTGACGTATCCAAAACAAGGAAGAGTGGAATTATATTCTCAGCAGGGTTTCTTATGAAGCTTTAGTTGGAAGGTTGCAAATTACATAGAATATGGAGACTTTATTACTTAGAAGTGCTGGGTGGAGAATAAATAACTTTGCTTTGATCCAGTTTTCAGTCAAGCATATTTGCACACTATTGGCACAATTATTGTTCACATATATAAATACCTAGCTGAACTCTGTTTTAGTGTTAACTGTTTATTTGTTAGACATCTGTACACTGACACACACTATCTTCCAGCTTCAGAGTTGCAAAGTTTTTACTGACTTTTTGAGTAAGTTAAGAAACCATCTCATTCGCCCCGCCTCTCTCATTTCATTTTTCTTTTATTGTATTTCTCAGATTCAGTCGTTTTCAAATCTGTTCCTTATATTTCTGTTTTTTATATATGACACCCACACCCAGATTCAGTCTTTTTTTTCTCCTTTCACTCTGATTCCTCAAATATAAAAAAATGCACTGGCAAGACCAGCAATTATTTAATCGCCACAGCTTATTACAATTAACAGGAAACAATTATTAATTATCTTGCTTTCCAGTTAAATCTTTCTCCTTCTTTCTTTGTTTCCTCAGCTTTGTCTGTGTGTCCAAGAAATTTTTTTTTGAGAGTTCTGAAGTTTCCCTAAAATAATTAATGAAGGAAAAAGCTGACTTGTGCCAAACTGAGAGCAATTCAGTAAAATGTCTTTTATCAATTATAGTCATTGTGAAAGTTCAATAATACCGCCTACATTTTTTGGAGTGCCAGTCCCTCCTCAGGGCTAAATGTTAAATTTAATTATACCATCCTCCCTGTTAGAGATACTTTATTTAGTCTAACCACGTGTATTTAAATGTTCTTTTTCTTACAGCTGTTTCACCATGTCCAGACAGTGACAGCAACTACAGTATGTTGTTCTTACTTGCAGGACATCAGTAACACTAATTCAGTTTAGAACAGGATACAATGGGAAAGTACAGGATGGGACTGTACCACAGTACAAACAATAGGATATGATACAGATATTTTCAGCTAGAAACCTCAGTTGAATAAGCAAATTCTTACCTTTTGATTTGAAAAGTGTTCTAAACCTTCTGAATATACTATACATTTTTGAATTATCTGTGTGTGAGATTTTACTTTAACAAATCTATGTTAGTAGTACAAAGAAATAACACAAAATAGTTTATAATTATTAATAAATTCTAATTATTTGGTATTATTACAACTAAAATATTCATTATTCTCCCGCCTCACTCTTTCTTGCCACCATAATACTTAAACTGAAAAAATAAATAACAAGTTTATGCCATAAAGAAATCATTCTGTTATATTTTCCTTTTTACAGTACGTACAGAGTATTAAATAGCGGGCCATGAAGCTGAGAATATTTTTACATATTACTCTCATTTTGTAATTATTGTTTTCTAAAAACAACAGAGAGTACTGTTGTACCATGATTAGGCGATAAGTAATATATACAGATTACAAACAGAATGCTGTCACACAGTCCTAAAATACATGGATGGAAAATATACCATACTGTACATACTGCATGCTATATACAGTATATATAGTATGCACATTTTCTACTAGAGCTAAAACTCCCCTCTTTTATTTCTCAGAGTTTAAAATTACTCTAAAAATCTATAAAAATACAGTAGGTGTCCCCATGGTGCCTCAAAGTCAGGAGTAGTACAAGATTCCTAGTTTGAGAATTTATTGGCACGGACAATCACACTTGTCAATGATCCATCTAATGGCATATATTAATGCCATTGGCCACAGTCACATGCCACACAGCATTCTCTATGGCTGAAAGAGATGTGACGATGCAGCAGCTTCTTCGAAGTGGTTTGGCATGAGGAAAAGCTGCCAACCAGTGTAGGCTGATTTTTTTAAACCTTTTTTTAATTGGAACCAATTTTTTTCTTTTTAGGCAGTGCCTTCCCAACCTGGAATCAGAAACTGTTAGTCAGCCCTGCTTACTGCTATGATCTTCATGCCAACATGAGGGAAATGAGGACAGCGTGTGCCTCCTTCCGAGATGCATATTTTTAAGAGCCATACAACTAGCACAGGATGTTACTGTACTCAGTTACTGTACTTCATTCTGAAAATGAAATGTACTGTGGGGTACCTAAGCAAAGTACATTAGATAATAAAACTGATACCAGAACAAGCTGAGCTTGTGCTTTTATTTCAACTGACCAGAGTAAATCACAGTTTATAAGTGTCCATTACAACATTAAGAACAAACGGGATCTAGGACATTTGATTTTTAGTAGATAATTGATCACATTTTTTTTTAAGGAAGCCAGAGTATTATCTTCACCATCGTGGCTGGGTAACTTGTTTTATACACACACCATTGGGTAAAATGTGCCTCCTATTTTCAGTTTTAAATGCACCTTTCTGGAAGTGTAAATTGTACAGAGAAGTATACAGTACATTGTTTCTAGTGGTGTCCTCTGTTCATTCTAATGAAGTCTGCTGGTCTAACCTTATCAATGCCTTTGAGGATCTTGAAAACTTGGATCAAGTCCCCACGTAGCCTTTAATGTTCAAGACTAGAAGTGTTCAGTTCTATTAGCCTATTGATGTAGGACACTTCTTTAAGTCCTGGAATGTATCTGCATTATTATTTTATTTTACCCTCCTCTCCAGTTCCAATTTATGTTACTGGTACAGCAAAGAAGGACCTTATTGTTAACTATTGGGAATTTCTTCATCATTAGTTGATTTGGTGCTCATCTGTTTTAACATATAGCCACATTTTTATGTGACATTAGTTTTTGTGGCTGTTGTTTTGCTGGAACATGGCCATCAGTGCAGGCTGTACTGTAAACTTCAGTGTTGAAACTGTGACCTGAGTTTGCATTTAGTTCAGACCTTTCAAAAGTTAGAAGGAGAGCTGAATAGCTTTACAGAGAAGGTGAAAGAGTAGATAGGATTGAGTTTGGAAGCACAAAATTATTTCAGTAATACTAGAGCACATTAGTTCACCTGGATCGTTGTAATGACTATGGAACCTGGAGGCATGCTTCAGACTTATTATTATTATTAATCACCACAGTACCAGATATTTGAGGCACATTTTTCATGGGAGGGTTCGTGGAAGGTCAAAATTCAATGCTTTCATTTTACTGAACAGCATGCAGACAGACTGCAATTTTATAATTAATTTAATTTATATTGCAACGACGCAATTCTTGAGCTCTGGAAAATAATAATGGCCTACTTAGCATGGGGCACAAAATGAAACAGGCAAGGTTTCTTCTAACTACTTGACAACAGCCTGAACAGTGGCAGGAGGTAATTACTCAAATGCCTGCACCTGCAGTTGAGGCTTTCCTTATTAATGCTGCACAATTAAAATGTTTCTTTTGCCTTGAAATAAGGGGTGTGTACGTGCACACAGTCTGTCTAGAATGGGCTATGGTGTCCTGAAACAGAGGAATTAATGAGCACAACTGAAGAAAGAAAACAAGCAGAACAAATTGCAGTTCAGAAAGTTGATCATTTTTTTTCTTAAAGAAAATTTAGAAAGTAATAATTCAACAGTCTAGGACTCTGGGGTTGTTTGCACAATTCCACAGAGAGATCAGAATGAGGGAGTGAGACAAATTCAAGCTCAGGATGGATTATTATTGTAACTTTTTCATGCTATGGTTTCCTGTTGTGGTTTTTCGTCCAATATTTATGTTTCAAATCCATCAGTAATAAAAGTACAAATGTATGTGAAAAAATAATTAACTAGCAAAACATAACTTAATCCAAAATAACTGTAAGTGTTTATTATTTCTCTGAATTATCTCTGTTTTGTTTTAAGAGCATGGGGTATATTATTTTTAAATGTAAAAATAATACAGAGTCAACATTAAGATGTCTTCTAAATATTTGACATTGGAGGCAGGCTGCAGTTCTCTTGTGTGCACTCATTAAAATGCAATATCATTCAGTTTTGCAGCAAGCATTTTAAATAAATAAATCTGCTATAGAGCATTTCACCAAGCAGGCTTGTTGTGTTTTAATGCAACTGAGAGTACTACAACAATTAGACAGAGGACTCTAAGCCATTTACTTCCAGGATATTTTGGCATCTCAGGTTTTACAGGATTAATGCAAACCTGTCTT